ATCAAGCATTTACTCGTAATAGACTCCCTTTCACTTTCAACAGCAGACTCGGTAAGGGGTGATACGTCCGCTTGAAGAGATGTATCTCGAAGCATAGTTTACATTTATCATTTATATTTGCAGAAACAACGCCCAAAACGATCACTTCACCAGCCACGAACCCACAAGGTAAGGTATCTCATGTTTGCTGTTGTAAAATAGTGAAGCTGTAACTAAACGAAATCCATGAAACGTGCTGAAATTGTTCCACGCCCACAGCTTGAACGCTGAATTACTTGCACAGGATCTGTAGAGAATCTACCCGCCTGGAGGATGGTGCCCAGGGGATGGTGTTCAGTGCGATCAAGTATTGTAGGAGTAGCATTCCGTGCAAGACCGCTTGATCATTCTGCGAAAATTCACAGAACGGCGAAAAATAGGTCAATGTGAGACAAGGCTCTATTCACCCTTTGCTGCCCCAATCATCCGCAATCTGGCCAGTTTTCGACCGACTCTTTTCTCCGTGAACAAAATTGTCAAAAATTTTTCTCCTGAGGTAGCTTGACCTGCTGAATATGAACATAACATCCACTCGGCACGAAACCTTCTGGCGCTGGCGCCAAAATACCCCAAATCACCGGCGCCTGTGGCGCGGGCGCCAGGAAGTTTCAGGCCAAGCGAATGTGATATTCGTATTCAGGAGGTCAAACTACCCTAGGAGACAACATTTGAGCCAAATCTGTCCACGGAGAAAAAAGTCGGTCAAAAACTGGCTGGATTCCGGATGACTGTGGCAGTAAAGGGTGTGCCCGACAATATGAGCCACCGGTGGCTCATTGTAGACGCAGGCGAAAAACGTCATTGTCCCACGCGGCGCTTTCCTGCAAACGCGATTGCCGTCAACGTGTTAGAGTAGCCGCTAAAAACTTGAGGACTTATTCGATCAGAGGACTCTCAATGAGAAAACGGTCAAATGTTGGCTTGCACGATTTCCGAAAAGATTCCCGAGCATAGGAGCAAATAGACCGTCAACGGATCAACCAAACAAATGTTAGCGTTCAGATCGGGCTGAAGTCAGTCGAAACCCAGTGGCAGTCACATCAGCGGACCAGCTACTGGTTATCTTAGAGACCAGCCCCCATCTTCCAAAGCCAAGTGGCACAGTACATTTACAAGGCGAATAGAGTCAGCAGGAAAGAATATTGTGCCTCGAGCAAGCACTGTGTAGCCAGGCTACAGCATGGGGATGTGCGCAAATGTCGGTGTGAGTACGACCCCCCCCCCCCCCCTTCCTCGAATGGGGTCCAGGCACGACCCCCTCCTCCGCCTCCACGGCTTCCTCGCCGACGGATGAGTATATAGTCGGCGAAAAAGTTGTGGGGGGGGGGTATACAATAACTATGCAACGTATATCCCACGGGCGTACAAAATGCATATAGTGCATATAAAAAATTAATACGACCCCCCTTTTCCACAAGAAAAAATCAACTATCAAAATAAATTTGTCTTCCAAATACGACCCCCCCCTCCCCAGAGCAAAAGTACGACCCCCCCCCCCATGGGTAACGATGCGTACCCTGTGTGTAGCGCGTTTTCCTATAGAGATCACCCTTACATCGTCTCACCAGTGGAATAGCATATCTCTTATAACAACAAATAGAAGACTATGATTGGCGAACATTGTTCAGCCATACTAGAAAAATAGATGAGTCTGTAGAGGGTTTTCTAGAAGCTTATACTGTTTCACGTCAATGCCAGACCACACACACTGAAGCTAAGGAAAAGTATTAGTTTTGGCAAAGAATTGACTTTGTTCAATTGACAAGAATTGACTTTGTTTTGACAAAGAGTGGTGGGCCTACCCTATTCGTCCGAAATGTCCCTCTTGTGGTTATGATAATTACGAATGCTTTATAGCAAGAGTCTGCTGCACATGCTGACTTGTTCAAGTTCGAAAGCAAGTTCAATATTCCAGTTGAAGCTAATAGGCAACGCGGCTAATACTATGGCCTTCAACAAATTTGAGAGTTCTCCCTCTCCCCATTCAAAAAGGGATCGAATAAAACTCGCTCCTTGATCGAGTTGGACATCTCTAATACTGACATCAGTGAAATAAGAATGTGGGGATGAAACGTGGGAGAAGTTACTCAGCGTTGCAGCAGTCAACGAGGAAACGGAACAAGAGTTCTCGAAGCTGCCATCTTGACCAGGACTTCCATCGTTGTGCCACACCGTATCGGGCCAGAGAGCTTTTAAACCCGCGTTGTTCTACGCTTGACTAGTACTCCCATTCCATTTTTAAGCAACATCATATCACTTAGCTCCATTAATCTCTCTCTCTCTCTCTCTCTCTCTCTCTCTCTCTCTCTCTCTCTCTCTCTCTCTCTCTCTCTCTCTCTCTCTCTCTCTCTCTCTGAGCGTTGAGCGACGAAATCCGCAAGAGGGTTATTATCATTCCAAGGAATGCGGGACATAAAACCTTACTTCCTAGTCGTCGCTTCTGCTGCGAAGGGCCATTGCAAGCGGTGTGCGCAACATTCGCACTAACCACCAAACTCACTCAACCGCGGCGACGTGCAGGGGACAACTCGAACCTATCCCTTTAAACAAGTCGATCTTCTCCTCTCTGCACTCTCTCGTCCGCATGGCACCCAATGGCCGTTGTGACTTCGCACTTTCAGCTTTTCACCGATTATAAGTAGCTCAGGCATCCCGGAGTCCCCTCCCCTTGAAAAAAAACCTATTTTCCCTGATCGCCGTATCTTTTGCACGTTTCGATGCTTTGGCAACTGCATTTCTCTATTCGTCTGAGACACAGGGTTTCTTAGTAGGACCATGCACAAAAGTTCGAGATGTCACGTAACCCGACGTGCCGGCTTCCTCTGTGTCTCTCACGTGAACTAGCTAACAATATAGAGGCGCGCTATATGTACTCCCGGAAGAGACACTGTACGCCCAAAAATATGTCCTCAAAAGTAGTGTATAAGGCAGCGTTCAGACTTCGCGACGGCAGCGCTTCGGTCGCGCGTTCGACGCGATCGATGCGCATGCTTTCGACTGCATTGATCGCGTCGAACGCGCGACTGAAGCGCTGCCGTCGCGAAGTCTGAACGCTGCCTAACTGGTATTCGCAGAGGTCAGTCACAGCAGCAGCCACATTTACTCAAAGCCAAAACGTTTCATGTTTCTGCCTAGCTTTGTCGTGAAGTTGGAAACATGGAAACCCATAAAATGTTCCAGGTGGCCATGTACCGGTCTTCCAAGTCTCCAGCGCAAAACAGTTCTGCCTTTCACTTTCCGAAAGTGACCCTTCTGCAGAACGTCGGCAGATGGGCATGCTCAACCGTGAATGCAACAATAGTATATTACTCACGTACAAAGTTTTAGCCGTGTAGCTCCGCTTCCCATCAACATAGCTGAAACGGTTCACACCGTTGTCTTCTAGTCTCCGCCATTACGTCACTACCACGCAGTGCTGCGTTCTACAGCTCGCAGTGGTCAACATTGTAGGAAGAATCCCGTCGGAGGAGAGTGGGTAAGGTAGGGCACATCGTTGTTGGGGAATCCCCAATAGGGGGGTCGTATTTGGCCGCCAGGAGAGGGGGTCGTATTTGGGCTGGGAAAAATTTATTTTGATAGTTGATTTTTCTCGCTTCACGGACGTTGTAAAGGGGGGTCGTACTTGGTCATTGTTGGGAGCGGGGGGGGGGAGCCTCGTACAGAGTCGACTAAAATCCCCAACCAATGAAGTGCCCTGGGGTAAGGTCGTATTCGATAGGTAGTGAGCGGGGTTCCAAGTGCAAGAACGCGCTGTTTATCGACGGGGTGCTTTTCATAGATTTGCCAACCCATCTAGGTACCTTTTTCGAGTTGACACGTTTTAGGATGGTGGCTAGACGATCTTGCTCCAGCTTCACAAGCGTTCACAAGTTTTACCAGAGTGAGATTTGTAAACCGGAACCAGGGAAGCAATTATAATACAAAATGCCCCCCCCCCGTCGATAAACAGCGCCCCAGCAAGCACTGAACAGCACGGTCAACAAAATTCAGTATCCATAAGACTTAGACAACCATGTTGGTCAGTATTTTATGTTGCTCGCCCATGGAATCTTCCTGGCGTCAGTGATTAATGTAACTCCGATTCAGTATGACAGGAGTCTTTCAGAAGGTTCCTCCATCTTACTAAAGCGGAGCTTATGAGAATTTTTTCGCCTATCTTCTGACTGTACCGATTCAGGTTCAGCATCATCGTCGTCGAGTAGCGGAGGAACGCCGGGTTCAAGCACTTTACACACTGCAGGTAGATTACATACACTAATCAGAAATTAAAGTATAAAGCTTTGGCTTCTGATTAATCCCTTTTCTGACGATGCTGGTTGATGAGTGCGATGGGGACACCTGATGACTTGCATTATCAGCCACTGTAAAGCTTGTTGTTCCTTTCCCACATCAGATTTGAACCTATTTATCGACCCCTAGGGATTAAGACCTACTAGTTGAAGTCTAGTTAGCGGAAATCGAATGTAGGCGTTGACATCCCGACAGGGGACGTAATAAACGGCGCAGGGTTCTTAAGTGCTGACCATACAGTGCATTTTAGGGCGAGCCTGAAGTCACATCAATGTAGTGCATGCTCGCAGATGGAGATAGCCTTAATATCGCAGATCGGTGCTAGTAGCCGAGGCGGTGTCGGGAGGAATAGAACAAGCCCACTTGCGGCTTTTCCACTACTGATTCTTTCCCTCGCAAATCGATCTTTAGCAATCACTGGAAGAAAAGGGAGTCAAACGCGGGCCCATTCCGAATCTCGTAACACCGCCCTACGCCCAATATCAACTATATGTATGCACATAGAGCAATAAAAAATCGTGGCAAGAGAAATTGCCACGGCAATGTGAAAGTTGTAGTTGAGTAAGTTCCCTGAGAATCCCAAGGGGCTGCCACCTCAATCACGGGTCATTTTTTGCATAAATGCCCCCTAGCAGTATCATTCCACCATCAGAATGCTGTAGCTTCCGTTCATGTGTTTGCAAGAATTCAGGCTATTGACAGGTACATCGTTCTCCACAGCAGCCGCCGCATCAACTTCAGCGCCGCCAAACCACAACAACGACAGGTGAGTCATAAGGCTAATATAAGTTTCTTCATTAAAACTATGGTGATCATCAAGTATTCAGAAACAAAAGTGCGATTATTAGTAAAGGGTCAGTAAAGGGTAGTAAAGGGTCAGTTGAGTGGGAACAAATCGGCCACAGTAGGATAGCGGTCAGCACAGTTGCCTGAAGAGCAAGAGGTCCACAGGTTGGAGTGTTAGCTGAAGAAGGGTGTTTGCCCATGAGTTGACATTTCTGCATTTAGAGTCTAGACGAGACGATATCTTGCTTTTAGAGTAAAATTCCTTCTGAAAGGTGATGAGCTCGAGAAAAAAATGGGAACTGTATCATTGAATGGACAAAAAATCCTCCGTACGCCCCAAATCCTTGAGACGCGAGGGGCGCTTTACGGTTTAGGTCAGGCTACGTTTCATTTGGACGTGGCGTAAGATGAGTCATCCGTGGAATATTTTGTTATGAGGCAAGTGCACCTTGTATTATGGTGGATAGACTCAGTTGGTGATATCTCATTAAAAGCTCAGCAGCCGTCACCTTCAAGTGAAGTGCGCAGCCACGCCTACCGCACCTCAAAATCCTGCGAAGAAAAAGCCTCCGTTCTCAGTGACTTGTAAATCGATTTCGGACGAGTTTCCCGTAGGCATCTTACCAATCACCGCTACCGAAGATAGGCTGCATATGTGTACCCATGTATGCATGCAGCATCAGGCCGCTTCACACCAGTCCCTTTGCTTCATAATTTGCTTAGCAAATGAATGAATACGAGCGTCAGGAACGGTCGTCCATTTGTGGGCGGGCGGGCGTGGCGGGCGTTTGGGACGTAAAGTTGTGGCTTGATAGGGCCCTTATAAGGGCACCTTCCTCGGGAAACCGCTATGCAGCGCCTGCCCAGGGTCGCGGAATTCTATCCTGCCAGGAGTATTGATCCTAGTCGCCTTAGGGATTTATCGTGCCAACTGCCTTTAAATGAATAGTACCGATCAAGTCCATCCGTGTGGAGGGACATCGTGTACGGGCAATTTTGTAAGGGTTTGCGAGTTTACGCAAAGCTATGAAATCATACCAGTTTCATTTCACCCCATTTTCAATGGCCTAATGCTAGACTAGTGCCAGGGCGGGGGAATCCCCAATAGGGGGTGGGTCGTATTTGGCCGCCAGGAGGGGGGGGTCGTATTGGGCTGGGAAAAATTTATTTCGATAGTTGATTTTTCTCGCTTCACGGATGTTGGGAAAAAAATAGAGACTCGACTAAAATCCCCAGCCAATGATGTGCGGAAGCGGTCAAGACAGTGAATGAGGATTTTTGTCTGGATAAAGAGAGGCAAGATTCCGAGTAGTCAAGCCAATTCCTATATACAAAGGGAGGATTTCGCATTCCGTGGCTTAGTTAAAGTGGTTCACCTTCCCGATGTCATACACAGCTATAGTGATTCATCTATCCAAAGTCATATGTGTTCTTATTTTGCGACATTTCCACTTAACAAATACAAATGGGATCGTGTCGACGGAAATGAATTGTCTCGAAGAAAGGACACTTTTGTGTACATTTTGCTAGCTTAAGGTACCTTCATAGGTGCAACCACGATGGTAAGTTGATAGTTCTCAACAGGAGTTTTAGGCAGCGTTCAGACTTCGCGACGTTCGACGCGATCGATGCGCATGTTTTTGACTGCATCGATCGCGTGGAATGCGCGGCAGAAAATCGCGTGCCATCGCGAAATCTGAACGGTGTCTTATCAAATGCTCCTCCGTTCTCCCAACCAGATGAGCGACAGTTGTCCGTCTCTTTGCAAAAATCACGTCTACGGAATTCCGAGCATCGCAAGTCTGATTTGATTAGCCACGCACATCATAACGGTTGCCAGTCTGAAAAATACCCATTTGTCAGCAATTGTGTGTTACAGCTGCAACAACTGAGCCGACAACCACTACTCTCCAGTTGACGACGCTCGATACAAGCAACAATCATACGGCCATCGGACGGCAAGTCAGCTACTTCCAAAAGACGTAGCTCTCAGCAATCAAGTGCAGAGGTGAAGAACGAATTGTATTGAAGGCAAACTCCGCTACCGGGAAAAAATAGACTCAAGGAATATTGGAAATGTTCACAGAACCTTCGGGCCGTCTTAGGCATTCGTATCAGGTGATGACAGAAAACAGTCGAAAAACAACAACACCAACAAAACATTTTTATTGAAAACGAATTATTTTATTTTAATCAAATACAGTTTTTTTTCAAATAGGCTTTGTAAGTTGTTCCAAGTAAAACAGTTACTCAGCAAACATCTCGAAAAAAGTTGCAGCCAAACTGATCCACATCCCACAATCTCCAGACCCTCCCTCTTATAAGTACCGCCCCTTGATGTAAAAAAGGAAATGAAATATTTCCGTTACAGCCAAGTTGATGTCTGTGTCAGTGGATATTTGAAGATTTAATCCTCTCTATGGCTTCAAAAATCTACCTTAAGACGAACTGCACACTCACCCCGAGGGCAGTCCTTGCCATGAGCGAGGCGAATGGGTCCGCAGCTGCGTAATGTTCCACCCTCTCCGCTCAAAAGCGCACTGGACCGGCTGCAGGAAAGCGGAGATCGTATTCGGCCTCCCTCAGAAAGGCGGGGGTCGTATTTGCAGAGATCAGTACTGAACATATGTAGCATCGACGTAGCTTGCAGGATGGGTGGTGCGTTCGGAAAGGAAGTCGAGTACATGGCGCATTCCATGGAGAAGTTGACCGACGCCCCTGTGTATCAATTCTCATTTGAAATAGGAGGAGCTGTACGGGAAGTCTACCGAGCTTTCTGCAACAGCTGAAAATGATTTCAAATGAAAATCCGCGAAGGGTGAATTTTCGCTATAATCGAGCTACAGCAAAGCAGCTGTGCTCATTCAAAGAAGAAATCCCTTCTTATTTCCAGTGCCGTGTAGAACTCCGCTATACGTTATGTCAGAACGAAGCTATTGTTATTGAAATGAAGAACTCGTGGTCACCCGAAATTCTCCGCGTTATTTCCTGGCCAGAAGCCGTCATGCAAGCTTGATGAAACCTGAAGTGTATTTTGTATAGAGCCTGGCCATACGATTTAAATCGTCTTCATAGCTCTGCGAAAGAATGGTTTCTGAATGAAGTCATACATTTCAAAAAAATATACTGTGCGAATACAACGCGCCGACAGCGCTCCAATCTCAATGCGCGACGCAGCCGCAGTAGCTCAATTCCTTGGCTTCGTGTTGTCCTCCTGGAGGATATCACTGTAAGGGTTTTTCGAACTTCCACATTGTGCTTTGCGCTACTTCTTGGAAAAAAACCTATCAAATTTCAGTACCTATGTTCGATTAATTGGTATTAGGATAACACACAACATATACAGCTATCCTGAAGAACACGATACATACTTCCACACACTCCGCATTTACTGAGGTTAGGGGGGGGGGTCATATGGACACCCCAAATTTCCGCGACGTGATGCTTGACCATGGTCTGGAGTGCCCTGGAACCAGGGCACATCGTTGTTGGGGAATCCCCAATAGGGGGTCGTATTTGGTCGCCAGGAGGGGGGGGGGGTCGTATTTGGGCTGAGAAAAATTTATTTTGATAGTTGATTTTTCTCGCTTCATGGACGTTGTAAAGGGAGGGGGGTCGTATTTGATCATTTTTGGGAGGGGGGGGGTCGTATTTACGTTTTGGCGTTGTGGGAGTGGCGGTTGACTTTTGGTGATTTTCCTGTTTCACGTACTATACCACGCTCGACGGCTCGATTCACAGAGGGCTGGGGGGGGGGGGGGTCGTACCAACTCCCAAAAAAAGGGGGGTCGTATAGAGTCGACTTAAATCCCCAACCAATGATGTGCCCTGCCTGGAACCGAGCTACAAATTTTGAAATGACCACCCATTGGTTGGGAACAAGCTCCTCCTATTGTGCGCGGGTCTCAACACACCTCAGGCACGCCCAATTCTCCCCAGATGCGATTTCTGAACTCTCATGGGAACTGATTACTGAATTTCGTGAGAAGCATCGCCCATCTCAAGCACGCCCCGCCTATTTCTGGTGTGCCTCCCCTTATTAGTCTGATAACCTCCGGCAGAGGTTATTCCACTTTTTCTGCACATCTGGGCTTTCTGAAGCGAATTATCTGCGCCGCCAACTTCCGGAGCACGCCCGGCCTACTGTGGGCGAAGTTTCACATAGTTCATGTGTGCTCTTTACATCTTGTCCCATCATCACCTTGACCTCACCCCTCTAAGTTTTTCTTCAGGTCGAAAAGAATTTCCGGACGGAACAAACAAACAAGCGAACAGACGAAGCAAATTATATATAGTGGGTGGTCATGACTAGTTGTTATCGTTAAGCCCACCAAATAGTCAGGGTACCTTATTATTAGGTTGTCCGGAAAGGAATGCGCGTTGAATTTTTTGAACTTGTCCATTTTTTTCTCTCCTACTATAGAAGATTTTTGGAGACAGTTTTGTCTATTAGAAAGAGATTTTTATTGTGCTTCTTTTGATATATTTTTGTCCATGTCTACTTTGCTTTTTTGGGGAAAAAAAAGTTGGGAAGAGCGGGTGCCGCACCAGCTGAGCGACGCAAACAAGGCAACACGAGTGGCAATGGCCGGAATTCTTCTTCGTCGCTCCAAGAACAGCGGTTTTTTCGACTCTATTATTACATCAAATGAGAAAAGGGTCTGCTTCGATAACGCAACGAGAAAAGGACAGTGGTTAGACTCCAGTGACCCTCCAAAACGGACTCCGAAACCTGATATACGCGGCAAAAAGGTGATGCTCCGTGTTTGGTGGAATAGCAAAGGTTTGATGTACTTTGAAGTTCCGGAATCGGGTCAGACGGTTACGGCGGACATCTGCAAACACCAATTGAACCGCATGGATCCAGCACTGCGTCTTCAAAGTGTCGAAACGACGTCGACAAAATTTATCCACGACAACGCTCATGTGGCGAAAATCACTCTAGAAAAAAATTGAGGAATTGGGCTGGAAAGTCCTGCCTCATCCGCCACACAGATCAGACCTGGCACCATCGATTACCATCTGTTCCGGTCGATGCAGAACTCCCTGGCCGAGAGAAAATTCACAAACCGCGAAAAAGGTCCAACTCTGGGTGTCCAACTTCTTTGAGTCGCAGCCGGTCGAGTTCTTCAGAAGAGGAATCCATTTTTTGCATAAATGTTGACAACAAGTCATTGATACTAATGGAGATTGTCTTTTGAATTTATCTTGTTTAATTTCGTTTTTATAATAAAAAATTTTTTAAGCTCGAACGCGCATTCCTTTCCGGACAACCTAATAATAAGCACTGAACCACCCTCACATGGAAAGGCATGTACGGTTTGTTTTTAGAAGCTAAACAACAACTCGTGGCCTCATAAAGAGGCTGTGAAGAAGCGGAATGCTTCTGTTCATAGAACTCGTCTTGCAATTTTATGCACACATTTTGAGTGCGCAAAAATGTATGCACCCATACCGTCCTTTCCTGTAAACAACAACACAGAGTATAACTAAAGGCAAGGTGCACGATAAATCCCCAAGACGCGTAGGATCAACACGCCCAGAATTCTGCGTCCTTAGCAGGCGCTTTTCCAACCAAGAGCATCGCTAGAGCGCCTTATCATGGTGCGACAAATGAGCGATACAGTTGTCGTGTAACGCTACAAGTCTGACTGCCTAACCAGACGCCCACCGCAAACCCCTGCCCAAAGTCGCGGAATTCTATCCTGCCAGGAGTATTGATCCTAGTCGCCTTGAGGGATTTATCGTGGCCAACTGCCTTTAAAGGGATCTCGGTGGTTGCTGAAAAATAGTAGTAGGGTTGCAATATAAGGGAGGGGAATGAAGGAAACGGTGAAAAACCTCGGTTCTGTACAAAGTGGATGAGTATACAGAAAGCATTTTTGGACGACTTCCCCGTTGGCGTCGTGCCAGCAACCGCTTCAAGAGATATGGCTGCACGCATGAATTCATTATCCATGTATCAAGGCTTTATATCAATTATACCTTGCGAATGAAGCGATAAGGGTACGAGCGTTGATGTGTCTGTGCGGCCATTTGTGGGCAGGGGTTTTCGGTGGGCGTGAGGCACTGCATAGCGGTTTCCCCGAGGAAGGTGCTCTTATAAGGGCCCTATCAAGCCACAACATTACGTCCCAAACGCCCGCCACGCCCGCCCGCCCACAAATGGACGACCGTTCCTGACGCTCGTATTCATTCATTTGCTAAGCAAATTATGAAGCGAAGGGATTGGTATGAAGCGGCCGTGATGCTGCATGCATATGGGTACACATATGCAGCCGTATCTTCGGTAGCGGTGATTGGTAAGATGCCTACGGGAAACTCGTCCGAAATCGATTTACAAGTCACTGAGAACGGAGGCTTTTTCTTCGCAGGATTTTGACCGTTTCACTCCGTTCTTTCGCCATTTCCCCACTATACAGCGCCCTACTAGCATTTTAGGCTAAGTAGGAAACCATCGTGCCAACTGCCGCAACAGTGAGTATGATCACCTTTCTTTCTAGTCTGATTGATGAGATCAACGCATTGGAGGCTTCTGTGAACGCGACTAACTCTCCGTACTTCGACCAAATGACGCAGATGCAAGCAAACGCCACACTGATGAATGCGACGCTTTCTGCATTGATCATGGAACTCGATGTGAGTTTAACGTTGCTGTTCTCGCGCAGATGCAGAGTGTGGCAATAGGAGGTGATGGTTCACACCCCACTGGTATTTTCTCTTCATTCTCTACCTATATCAATACTTCGTTAACCCTATACGGGGGCAAAAAAAGACACTTCGGTCCGAGTCACATATCAGCAAAGTTTTCGCAGCCCAGACAGAGGACGTGGATACGAGTACCAGGGCGGAAGATACCCAAGATGTTCCTCGATAAGCAGGAGCTGGCTCTCGCCCATCACCTTCATGTACACCAAAATATGAAGTCATCTCCAGTCGCAGCCTGACTGGAGAAGACCTTTGGAATTCATGTCACCTCCAAACAGCTGCGAAACTTCTAGTATGGAGTCACCCATGGATAGCTACCTGGAGACCAGTACTCTCGATCTGGATGACCTCCAACATCGAGCAGCTCGACAACGTCGCCACGGTCTAGGACATCATCTTCACCGCAGTCGCCAAGGCGCGAGTTGATGGTATGGACCGGAAGTTCCTGGAATGTGAAGACCGATATTTTCTTCGTGGACCCCGGACTGAAGGTGAGCGCTGACGGTTACATCGACCAACTCGTGGAGAATATCTGCCTTCATGTCATCGCCTGTACCTTCTTGGAAACTTCGTACTGCTACAGGATTGGGTGCCTCCACACGGAATCGAAGGGCGTTGGAAAAACTCTCGCCTACTTGGAATGGAAGGGCGTTGAGTACCTGAAGAAGACGGAATATCCAAGTGTGTCACCTGACCAAACCCCTCGATTACCCGGTTCGGGCGGAGCTCAACAGGGTGGTCTACAGTGGCGGAGAAATCAACGATCTCGCTGAACTCAGGTACCGAATCACGGTCGCGTGGCAGAATCTCTCGATGGCGCTCGTCCAGAAGGCTGTGGCGGAGAAATCAGAATTCGGTAAAATGTATCTTACAGCGAATTAAAAGTCAAGGAAAAAAATGTCTTTTTTTTGCCCCCCCCCTCCAAAGTAGAGCCCACAATTCCTTAATCTTATGTAAACTCTTCGTACAGAAAGGTGGTGTGCACCGTAATGAATAACCCTGTGAAAGTTCCATCAGAAAGCGTAAAAGTGTCAGAAAGCGTAAAAGTGTTAGCAAGGTTTCTAAGTGACTCCGCTCACCAGTGGTAGAAGTCTTATCTGCTGCCTTGCTCGTTTGAATGCTCTTACGCTGCCTTCTCTGGCCTATCGCCTGTTCTCTATATCGATTCTATGTCTCACGAGTGGCACGAATGGGGCCTTATTTGGAGCGTTTTTGACGGTTCCTTTTCATTCTTTTCTTCACGAGACTGTCGACCAACTTTTACACTTCTGTTTCTAATTCTGCACGACTCTCTGCTGGCTCTTTGTGAAGTTTGCCTAACTTCATGATATTTAAGAAAGAGATACAACACAGTTCCTTCCTTCAAAAGCATGTTTCGCGATTTGTTAAAGGGATCAAAACCGTATCGGGCCAGGATGTGTGCCGCAACGGACTATCTTGCCCAGGTTCGCGTCAGAAAGTTGTAATTCAGGGCTTCTAGGGTTAGGTGGCTCAAGCGGCTCTACCTAAGCAGAAATGCCCTCTCTGCCGTCGTTGGTATATCTCGCTCAACCCGTTTAGTATGCTCTCTGCTCTTGCCTAGTCTGTCGCCCGAAATCTCAACAAATCTTCGCCTCTCACTCCCAACAAGGAGGCTTCTTTGGAGCTCTCCATTAGAATCGTCAGCTTCTGTTCTCGACGGACAAATCGTGTAGCATGCTGCTCCTCTTCGGTGTCTCTGCCGACGACGTACACAAAAATCGCGAAGGGACCCGTGAAAGTGCACTACGTCGCATGGATGTTATGTAAAAATGATGCATCCTTGTCAATCGTGAGCTTACTCATTTGATATGGAAAAAATCGAACCATGGAGTTATACAAGTGACTCCGTTTGGGGCACCGACCATGAGGGTGCTCCCGATTCGCGGAAAGGAGTTCATCGTAATCGGTGAACAGGATGTGAGAATTCAAAGGTGTTGCTTTTGAAATTTTATAGTCCTGAAAGATGATCATTGGAATGTCTTCATACCAGGGCGGAGCAGTACTTGGGGCATCACTTACAAAGAGTTGTCATTCTTCTGTGAGATCCGAAGCTGCAGTTATGTCCTCTCATCGAGAGCTTCCGCAATTCTCGAACGCTCCACCAGCTTCAGTGCCTCCATCATTAGCAGTGCTTTCATTAAAAATCTCGCCAATGCATGTGGCGTTCAAATGTTTCTTCACCTTGCTAGGGGCTGATAACAGGAGACTCGAGAATGGTGCTTGGTCCAGAACTTCCGCCATAGGTGACGATTACCTTATTGGTGTTTCCCAAGTAGGAACTACTGACCCCACCAGGAAATGGCGGACACCTAAAGCGCGACCAATCGAACGTCGTTCAAACCATCCGTGAACACAACTTGTTGAAAATTCTCGTCAGGTGTTCTCCGCAACATGCGCCTTTCCGCGTGCAACTCGTTCCTCGTCGTTTAGAATGAGGCTGATTCCCTATAGAATCTCATGGCGTGACAGGAGAGCTGAAAGCTCTGTAAACCCGAGAACTTTGAGAAAACCGTCTGACTTCTCATTTGTGCAGCTAAAACGGAACTCCACTTATATTTA